CGGAACGGGACCGTTTTTGACGCTGGCCTGCATTGGATTCCATTTCTGCCATAGCCCTCTGCCAAGGCTCTGCTTGCAGTGGTGGCGTGCAGGAAGATCAGCCAGTCCGGTCAATAGCAGATGCCATAGCGATGCGTTGGAGAGGGTCCGAAGTCGCGTGCGCTGAAGCCGCTAAAGCGCAGCGGATAGAATAACTCCGTTGGCCGACTCAACGCAGGCAAGACCCATTTCACAGTGCAGGTAGGATATCCAATGCTCGCGTTTCCAAGTTGTCCCCGTTGTCGAGATGCTCATGCGCGTGAAGGTGGAAAGAAACATTGATGCAGTCGGGTCTCGAGGAAAAAGAAAGATAGTGTCTGCCTTCCCTTCTAGGATTAGCGCAGCACCACCAGAGCGAACTGGCCAATCAGATGATGGACAGGCATATCAAGCAGAATGCACGGGATTATTAGGAGGATTATTTATTATCTACATCTTGTCGGACATGTCCTTCGGCATACTTTGTGGGGAATAGGAGATGCCTTGGACAGTGTCGGAGGACACGTACACATCCCCTATCGACAATATGTACTTGGTCAAGTATCTTCTACATAACTCACCGCTCTCCGGTGCTTCGAGAGTGCAACTGACACCGCCATCCACAAAGAATCATCAGCATGGGAGAAAACGTTGTCGACGAGCGTAGCTTGCTGCTTTCCCGGACTTCCTCCATCGCCTCCAAGGAAGAGGATGTCGCCTTCGATATCTGGCACGACCTTGGTGCGCTCATCCGTCGGACGATTCCCATATGTCTCTCCTTCGCTCTACAAAATGCAGTACAAGCAATCAGCGCCTTGATAGTCGGCGGCAGTCTGGGCTCCTTCGAGCTGGGAGTTACGTCCTTCGGGTTCATGTTCTTCTCCTGCACTGGCACTATGATCGCCATCGGCGGCGCAACAGCGCTGGACACGTTATGCGGTCAGGCGTTCACATCCCACTCGGTCGCAGACAATCCCAAGATCCTCGGCCTCCTCTTGCAGCAGTGCTTGATTGTATTGCTTGCAATTTTTGGCATCTTCTTTGCGCCGATTTGGGTGTTTTCGGGACACCTTTTCATCGCCCTGGGTCAGCAGCCAGACTTTGCTTTTGCGACAGGCAAGTTTCTGGTCCTCATGCTCCCCGCCGGCGTGTTGCAGATTGTGGCCGAGTCGTTGAAGAAGTTTTTGCAGGTTCAGGGCGAAAGCAATATTGTTGGAGTGTCTACTGCCGTGGCCAGCTGCTTTGGGGTTCTAGTGACCTTCGTGCTTGTTCGATGGACGACACTGCGTCTCTGGGGTGTCCCCTGTGCCTTCTGCATCTACCAGCTCGTCACGGTTGTTGCCCTGCTTTGCATCATTTCCCAGAAACCTGCAGTCAGAAAGACCTGGCGCGGGTCTATTGTCGGCATCGAGAAGGGGATATTGCGTTTGCTCTTTTACGCCGTCACGGGGATTTTTACTTGTGCCACAGAATGGTGGAGGTGAGTCTGGAACATCTTCTGCTGTTCCTCCTTGAGACTGACCCGTGTCATAGCTTTGAGATACTTGCAATGATGGCTGCAAGGCTGGATCCCAGCTCCATTGGAGCCCAGAGCGTAAGCCTTCGATCCCCTCTCAGTCGGCCAAGTGCCTCTGCTGACCTGGCCTGCAGATATTGATGTCTTCCGACCTGCTGCTCACGACGGTGGCCCTTGGAATAAGCGTAGCTTCCAGCCATCGCATCGCCGGCTTTCTCGGTGCCGGCAGGAGTCGTGAAGCGCGGAGAGCAGTGGCCACACCATACCTCCTCTCATTCATCATTGGGGCCATCGAATTCGTCGGGATCATGCTTGCCAGAAAGAGCTACGGCCGCATTTTCACCGACGACAAGGCCGTGATCAAGAAGACGGCCCAGGTACTCCCTCTGATGGCCGGCTTCCAGGTCCTGGATCTTTCCAACGGCGGCGCCAGCGGGATCCTACGAGGCGCGGGTAAGACTCATTTGGCGGGCGTCTGCAATTTCGTGGCGTATTACGGCGTGGGCTTGACGACGGCATGGTTCCTGTGCTTTCGCAAGCAGTACGGCGTCTTTGGCTTGTGGGCGGGCATCATCTCAGGGAGCGGCGCACTTCTCGTCCTGCAGTCTCTTTGCATTCTGACCATTCGGTGGAAGCAATTGGCCAGAGATGTTTCTAGGTTACACGCCTCATCGGACTAGGATGCGTATACTCGGACGTCTTCCGAGCATGACGACTCGAGATATAGAATTAGATCTCCTATTACAGATAGATAAGAGTGCTTAGAGGGTCTGTTTAAGAGGTATTGTCAGCCACCACAGACAGTTCAACAGTGGATGAAAAAAGTTCTTGTCATAAGTAGCAGTCATTTTGTGTTTCTGGAAATGTCTTCCAATTGCCCGCGCAAGAATTCCTCTTATGTCTCTTCCTCGTCAGGGTTTGTGTCAAGGATGAGGATTCCAGTTTTTGAAAGAGACAGGACTCTAAGGGATGTATAACATGAGATGGACAGCTTGAGTGGACATATCAACATGTCAACTCCCGTGGCCGACTGATCTCCATCACATCGATTCAGATTCAGACTCCGAATAGGCAGCTCATTTATACATAAATAATCCCTATCGCCAGGTCACTATCACCACACGGCTACAATTACCCTCCACAAACACCCCGGGCTCATAGACCGAGTCTGTTCCTAACCAGTCGGGTAATAAGCTGTGTCTCCAGGTTAGTACAAGTCTCCTGAGTCGTCCTGACTCGGAAGGGAAGGAGGTGATCATATCATGACATACCTCGATAGTAAACTCGGCGGCGACGATGCCCGTGATTTCAGCCTGGTCCAACGAGGGCAGAATCTCGACGACGTCGACGCCCACAATGTTCAGCCCGTCGAGCGCGTCGATGATGATCTGGATGACTTCGCGGGGCGTCCAGCCGCCCGAGGCCGGGCCGGCGGTGCCGGGCACGAAGGCCGGGTCGAGACAGTCGACGTCGAGGGAGACGTAGACGGGCTCTCCCGAAGTGCCGACGACGGCGCGGATCTGGTCGATGACGCCCCACACGCCGTCGCGCTTCAGCATGTCCGCGGCGGGGATGGTGACGAAGCCGACCTCCTCGTCGAGCTCCATGTCCTTCTCGGAATCCAGCGACGAGCGGATCCCCGCGTGCACGTTCCTCGCGCTCAGCAACCCCTCCATCCCCGCCCAGTAGTACGGCGTGCCGTCAGCGAACTGGGCCTGCTTGCTCCCGGCTTTGGCGCCCGCAAACACCTTGGGCGACCACGTGTCGATGTGCGCGTCGATGTGGATGGCCGAGACTTTGCCGTGGACCGTGTTCAACGCGCGCAGGATCGGGAGGGAGATACTGTGGTCGCCGCCCAGAGCGACGATTTGCGGGTGGTGTCTACCGGTCTTTTGTTGGGGGCGAGAATCAACACACTATTTCTTCGAAAAGAAAGGAGGGAAATACCCCTTGGGGTTTTATGTAAATAGGTGGCTGGTTCGGGGGATGGGAATACCTTTGAGGACCAGACTCCCTTTTCTGTGGACTTGACCTCCCTCCACAAAAGCCGCTTGTACCACTCCTCCATCTGGGCGAAGGCGAGACCGTTGTCGAACGGTGAAATGGGCAGATCCCCACAGTCGACGACCGAGATGTTGTGCTTGTACGGGTTGATTGACTGGCGGTAGTTGTACTGGCCACTACCTCTCGAATTGATCAGTTCACTTCCCTTATATCACCAACGAGTCCATAAGGGGGTTTGTAATGAAACATACGCTAGAGAGGCTGCTCGAGAGCCCTGACGCACTGCATTTGGCCCCAGACGCGTGCCGGTCCGGTACGACGTCGCCGTATCGAAGGGAAATCCTAGGATCAGGATGTCGTCCACCGGTCCCGTCTCCGTCAGGCACTGCACCGAGGGAAGTTTGGCAAATGTGGTGATGCCCGAGAATGCAAAGTTTGCTGACGGCTCGAGGTCATAGTGGTCATCGTCGCCACCCTTGAGGCTCGTTTGTCGACTATTACTGGTCGTGGGAACGGCCAGAGCAGAGGAACAGGCAGTCAGTGCTGCAACGCTGTACAAAAATGTACTGCGCATCTTGAGGGTGAGGCTCGATATTCGATGTGAAGAATCAAAAGACAACAGCTCTCGACTGAGTCAACGGACGAGACGCTCCGCATTTTGTAGTCCAGACTCCTCCCTGCGGCCAGTGCGCGGCTGTCCGTGATAGCTTACGCTTACCTTTCCTAGGAAGACCTCAGTATCATAGCATGTAAGTCCAGACATGTGGCGGGATTCTGCGAGGCATCTACATCCATAGATAGATAACTCATTGGGTAATTACCCACTTTGCTGTCGTCGATGCAAACCAGCCTAGTGTATTCCTTCCCTTTTAGGATTAGCCTGATTCCCCCAGTGATAGCGTCGCTTCACCGTGAGCACGATCCTTCGTAACCTTCTATGTCAATATGTCCTTGTACAGTTCCGAGACGATTTATCAACTGCATTAAAGGCAAAAAGGTCGTGCTTCTTTTTCCGATACTGTAGTGATCTGGTCGAACCGTTGATCAACCCGACTAGCCTCCCCCCCCTCCCCCCTTTCCGCTTTTGAGGTCCCGACTTGATTCAATAGCCCCAGGATGAGCCTCACTTCGTCGACTTGAAGGGAAATTCAATGCGGCCTACGTCATGGCGAATAGGCATGCCTTTCTGCGGCAGAATCTGGGGAATGGTTGTTGCGGCTGGTGAGAAGGTTTTCGTGTGTACACACATCTATATGAACACTAGTCCCCTACCCCACGTCATTGGAAAGGCCGCCTGGTGGCTCTCTGCGAGATCGGCCGTGCTGGTTCCAGTCGACGAGATCAAGACCGGAACATACATGGTAAGTGTATTGAAAAAAGAATCTTCGCCTCCCAGCAAGGGACTGCGAGTCCTCAAAGTATCTGGAAACCAGGAAAAAAAGACGAACTTTTTACCACCAATTCACCAACCTCCCTGCCTCTGCGCACCATTCTTGTTACCTTCGCTGTCGGAGGGAATGCTCCGGAGGTCCTCAATGTGAGCATTGAGGAAATACCCTCGCAGCTGCTCGCTGGTCAGGTCCTTGGCGCCGCTGATGCGCCCTTTGCAGCTCCTGGTCCCGCAATTACATTGGAAGGGCTGGTCCATCTCCCACTCGGTGCTGGGATAGAAGAAGGTCAAGACGTCGCCGGGCTCCACGCCCTTGGGGTTCCCATTCTCGTCCCGGCGCGTCGCGACCCTGACCTCGATCACGGGCTCCTCAGAATGCGGGACGACGTGGAATTCCAGACTCGGCTCGCAGCTGTGGTTGATGTACAGGAAGTCGCAGTTCAGCTCGATGTGCTTGTTCTCCGACACCTGGACACTGGACCAGCGCTTTTTGTCCGCATACGTCAGCGGCGGGCTGGTGAGTCGGGCCATCAGCGCTCCTGGTGGGAGAGAGGTGGTGGAGACGCTGTAGGAGCTGAAGTCGCCTGGGCGGTAGATGACCTTGATGACGGAGGGATGTGTCGGTTCTCGCGAAGGCGCGGCGGCCGTAGAAGAGGCTGCCTCGGAAGTCATGTTTGCGTCTATGGATTTTGAGTGTGTCGAACCTGTGTTTGAGACAATCAAGCAAGAAGAGAACAGAGGGTTTTGGTCCTAGGCAGCTATATCACTTTGGAAAATGAAGAGAACGAGGGAGAGAGAGAGAGAGCAATGGAATTCGTAGTTCTCTCGGGTGGGCAAGTGGAGAGGACCAAGAGAAGCCGGCCAGAGCATGCGCCTCGGGATGCATAATATGTACCAAAGTACCAAGTAACCAAGTCTGTACAAGAAAAAGAGCCATGAATTTTGCAAACTTTTTCCAACAGCCAGTCATCCAAGTCATCCATCCAGCCAGCCATCGGGCAAGCAACAAGAGCAGACTTTTGTCCTTGCGCCTCTCAATCAAGATCATGTGCCATTATTGTTGCAGGAGACACTCATGGACCTGCCGAGAAAAGTCCCCCAGCCACAATATACCCGATCCCAAGCGTGCACGGCGTGTTTTGTGGCTCAGCTGGATTAAAATCGAGTTAAATCGGTTACCTCGTGTGCTCATGAATTATTGCTACGATCGATCCTCTCTCGCGCCTGTCTCGGCCTGCGTCAACCTCGGCGGATTTGCATCATCCACCCTTGAACCCTCCCATCCTCCCTACCTGGGCCGTTTTTATTTCGTTTCATAACCCCACAGTCTTTTCTCGTTCTAAGGCATGGTGGGGTTGGTTTTGCCTTTTCTTTGCCTTACGCGACGCCGAATTGGACGGCGTCATCGAGACACTCGCCCAGAAAGTCTGGCACTTGTCTGGTGAGCTCGATTGTTTGGTTCGGTTTCCCCATTCGCGGCCCAGTCCATGTCTGTGTTGGAGGTGGTTGTGTGCCTTTTGTCCGTGGTCCGGACCACAGGAACGAGGGAGTTGTATGTCCGGCTACCGAGCACATATATATACCTATGGCAGACTCGGCGTGCGTGTGCAAAGTAACTACGTGCACCTAGGTCCATACATACAGAGACAGAACCTATGCATTCTGTACAACTGGCTTTGGTTTGGTTTGGTTTTGGGCCCTGTTTGGGTACAGGGCTGGTTGGTATTACCTGAAAAGAAAACCCCGAATCCTCCCGCCCCGAAGCAGATTTACTTTTGGCAGGCACTTCGGCTAAGCGGGTTCTTTAGGGCTGCGAGAGTGTCCCCTGTTCGTCGATGGCCATCTATTGACTTATTTACTGAGTTATTGACGTAATGCGTGTGTCTCTCTCTCACGCTGCGCGAGTTAATACTCCCCCTGCCTGCCTGCGTACCTACCTACCTACCGACCGACCTACGTATTCAGAACAACGAGAAGAAAGAAATCGACATGATCTCTCCTACCGAGGCTCACATTATGTTTTGTAGGCACTTCTGAGGTATATAACGCCGCACATCACAAAACACCACCTGTAATGTCAAGTGTCTCTTGTTGGTTGCGTTGGTGCTGGTATCAGTGTCAGTGTGGCCCTAGGCAGTTAACTACATCTTACACCCTCTGTCTACTTGGCTATACCTAGTATCCAGGCACCCATGGACATCATCGAGGCAGACATATACATGTAGATACATACATATATACCACGTCGACCGTATCACCCTTCCCACTGGCCCCCCAGACGACCCCACGACTCGACGGGCGGGTGCCGTTCGCGTAGATGCAGGAATTTCATCTGGTGTTGAGACCCGAAGGTGGATGGATTGTCGGGTCACAAGGACAAGGGCAGTAGAAGCGAAAGCAAAAATAGAGGGCTAATAGAAGGGGAACGTAGAAGAGGATACCCCTTGGCTTGGGGGCTGGTCGGTCCTTTGGTTGCTTGAGTACCAACTCCTTCCACTGAGACTGTATATCCCCAAGGTTGTGATGTTGAAAAAGACTCGACTCGTACTGACACGACCCCGACCCGGAAATAACTTGTCATTATGCATGTGAACTTGATCTCTTTAAAAAGTCTGCACCAACGTGAACGTGGCCGCCCCAAATCCCTGGTCGGTGGCTGCGATGGTCAAGACGTTGTTGAACAGCTGCAACACGTCCTGGTCCTCGACCGCGCAGTACAGCTCGTTTGCCGAATCTACGCTACAGGCGACTTCGGAGGGCTCCAGGTCTGTTGCCGCTGCGAGGGTAGGGTTCGACAAGAACAGGTAGTGGAAGGTCACGAACTCGCCGGGCTGATCAAGCACGTAGGTGCTCAGCCCTGGAACCGCGGTTGGGCCGAGCATGCACGTGCCGTCGACGTCCTCGACCCAGGAGAACTCGGCCGCGGTCTCGATGGCCGGTTGGTTAAAGACAACGAGGTACTGGCCCCCGACGTATTCTCCTATCGTGGCGTAGTTGTTGTCTAAACTCGACTGGATCACGTAGGTGCCCGTCGGGCAGCCGTTGACGGATCTATAGGTGTTTGTCAATTTGTGTCAGCTCAAATGGTGGCACCCTGATGACATGGCCCAGAGGGAGGGGACTTACGTGGTTGTGGTGGTGGTAGAGGTGGTCGAGGTTGTTTCAGAGGTGGTAGTTGAAGTTATGGCAGGAGTGGTGGTTGTAGAGGTGGTGGTCGAAGTTACATCAGAGGTTGTGGTAGAAATAGTGGTTGTAGCAGTGGTTGTAGAGGTGGTATCAGAGGTTGTAGTAGACGTGGTGTCAGACGTGGTTGTAGAGGTAGCATCAGCAGTGGTGCTAGAGATTGTGGTTGTAGACAAGCTCGTGGTGGTAGCAGAAGTCGTGGCAGGAGATTCCGTACTGGACAAAGAAGTGGTTGCCTCTGTAGAACTCGTGCTCGTGCTCGCGCTAGTGCTAGAAGAAGCGGACGTGGTGGACGAGGATGTAAAAGAGATGGTTCCGCCAACCGTGCCCGAGCTTGTGCTGGAAGCAGTAGGCGTGGTGGAGGATGAGGACGTGAAAGAGATGGTCCCGCCAACCGTGCGCGAACTTGTGCTGCTGCTGGTCTGTGTATAGCCTGGGCCAGAGCTCGAGACGGTCGTCGTCTTTGTAGTTCTCGAGGACACCGATCCGGGCCAAGGACCTGCAGTCGAAGTCCGGCGCGACGAGGTTGTCCCACGGACGAGGGGACTCGACGATGCCGATGCCGCCCAATCCGCCCAGCCGCCCGTAGGAACCGGATTGAGGTTCTTCACCGGTGTGCTCGTCTCGCAGGGGCACACGTAGTGCGTGTTGGTGTGTGTGACGGTCACGACTTGGTCGCCATTAGCAGCATGCCAGGCCTGTGCGGCAGAAGACACCCGCACAGCCACGATTGCAAGAAGACATAAAGAGCGGACGAAGAGCATCTTGACGAACAAATAGATGCCTTCAAAGAAGATGGAGTCAACTGTTCAGCGAGTCGAATGCCTGAATCGAAGCTGTGAAGACCGGGGGGAAAGTCCTCCATGTTTAAGGATGGCGTTCTTGCCCCATTTCGCATCTTGACAGTGCAATCTGCCATTCGTGCCTGAGCGACACAACATGGGCTTAATTCAGCCCACCGGCGTGAAAGTCAACGTGGTGGCGTTGAAGATCCGAAGAACGCCACAGCCAAAACCGAGTCGACAACGATATTCGGGGGTGGGAACTGTAGACCATGAGGAGGAGATAGAGTTGTACAACGAAAGTGTGAGAGACATTTCTCCGAGGCTCAAGTTTCGAGCCATCATGGCTATTGTATCGCCATCATGACCGCGACGTGTTTTGTTGTGACTTTGATATCCGCCAAGACCGAGGAAGAAAAGAGGCGTCGGGATTGGTGTCTTCGGGAACCCCAAATGAGTAATGACAAGTCCCTTAACGGGATGCATGACTCGAACAAGAACAATCCAGGCGGCCAAGGCAGGCAAGGCAGGCAATCACTTCCGATGTCCATCCCATTTCAGGCCGCCGACGCAACACCATCTACATACATCTCAACCCTCCACCGTCAGCTCCTTTTACCACTACACTGTAAATTCCCAATCTACCCTGGAAAAGTTGTATAGAAAATCATGTCTCTGACCGTCCACCACCTGCACATCTCGCAGTCCGAGCGCATCGTCTGGCTATGCGAGGAACTCGGCATCGCGTACACGCTCAAGACGTACACGCGGGACCCGATCCTCGCACCCGCGGCGCTGGCGGCGCTAACGCCCCAAAAGTCCGCGCCGGTGATGACGACGACGAACCGCGTGACGGGCAAAGAGTTCAACATGGCCGAATCCGGGGCGATCGCGGCGTACATTGACGGGGTGTTTGGCAGCGGGGCGCTGTCGCTGGAGGCCGCGCACGAGAACTACGCCGATTTCTTGTTCTGGTTCCACTACGCCAACGCGACGCTGGGCTCGGCCTTCTTCCGCGTCATGAGCGCCGCGTGGCTCCAGCCGGCCCCAGACAACGCCTTCGCCAAGTCCATCCCCGCCAACGTCCACAAGCACCTCGCCGCCGTCGAGGCCCGGCTCGCCACCACGGGCGCCTTCCTCGCCGGCGACCAGTTCACCCTCGCCGACATCATGACCGTCTGGACTCTCACCACCGGCCGCCAGTGGACCCCGACCGATCTGTCGCCCTACCCGGCCATCCTGGCCTATCTGCAGCGCATCGGGAGTAGGGAGGCGTACCAGCGGGCCATGGACAAGGCCGAGCCCGGCTTGGACTGGAGACAGGGTCTGACGGCAGCGGGACCCGAGCTGTTCCCGCCGTATAGACAGATGCTGGGACAGATGGGGATCGATATCGCCAAGATGAAGATTTAGGTTTGCGGGCGGAATGGTGCGAGGGTGGGGGGAGGGGAGATAAAACTGTACCACTACCCACCATGCATGTAACGTGTCAATCCCACAAGCAGACGGGACGAGGGCGACATCACGCGGAAAGGGACTCGACGGGTAATTAACCCTAGATCGAGCAAAAAGTAAAGAGGAACAGTGAGGAGGACTCTCTACTCACTTCCATCTATGATAGATCATTCTACTCTAGCACCCCATGGCATTGATACTCTTTGGGCCAAACTCGGCTGCCTCTGCTTCGTGTCTAAATCATGGCTGATGTCAACGGACGAGCCGATGCCTCAACAAAAAGACGCGTTTGCTGCAGTCATGGTGTTCCTGGAACTGAAAGAGTGTCCGCGGATCCACCACTTTCTTCACTGGAACCTGTTCTGCACGCGGAAACACATCATGCCCCGAATATCGTCTTCAAGAGGTGCTTCGAAGCCTCCTCCCGGCCTGGACTCTCAAGCATCCTATACACACGATTGCCACTCCTGTTACCTAGCCAGTTGCCGCGGTCATGAGGTACTTCGCCGTCCGAGTTCCGCCTGCGTCGGGCTCGTTTGTCGCCCACCGTCATGCCTCGAGTCCACTGGCCGGCAGTCTCGACTCGAATATCCTCGGGGCTGCGCGCGCTCGCTTTCCACAATGGGTCGTCGTGCGTCAGCACGTACCAGATGCAAAGCGGATCGTGTAGCGCCAGTGCAGCGCCTTCGCCCTCATGGCCGATGTGCAGCCGCTCCATCTTGTCGAGCATGGGTGTCATGAACGCCGTCATCCACGCCGCAAGAGGTGAACCCGCCTCGAGATGAGGCTTGGCAAACGCGTTGAACTCGCCACGGCTCAGCATATGGTATTCCGTAATGTCCAGGCTCATGAGTGTGAGCTTCAGCTGTTTGGACAGCCGCGGAGGGTATTGGGGGAGGTGGAAGCTGCGTTCGCCCTCCGTGGCGACAGGCATGGTGCTCGCTGGGATGGGCGATGACAGTGCATACACCCTAGCAGCAGCGTAGGGGTCGGCATAGACGTTGAATTCCGATACAGGCGTGACATTGCCGATGCCATCAACTGTGCCACCCATGGTGATGACTTCTTTACATCTCAAAAAGGTCTCTGGGTCTTCTGCCGCGGCCAGAGCAAAGTTCGTGAGCGGGCCGATAGCGATCAAGGTGATAGTATCCGGCTCATTTTCCCGTAGGAGGCGGAGAATTTCCTTGTGTGCAGGCTCGAGGGAAGGGATGAATGCATTGGTGTCTTCCTTGAGATCGACTTCGGGCTTGGCCTTCTCGGTGATGAAACTGTCTGGTGGAGGTTGCTCGAACAGCCTATTCCAACTCTCCTCGGGTGAGAAATGCGGATGGCTGGTATGCGTCCCGGCCAATCCGTCAGTCCCATGAAAATAGTCGGCGCTCTCGATGCGGTCTTGTAAGGGTTCGTCGGCGCCAATGGCCACGATCGGCTTGAATTTGGTGAGACCGTCGAACCCCACCGGTTTGCCCTGCTGCTCACGCCATGCGATTTCCTTCTCCAGGATGTGGAAAATGGCCACGACATTTCGTAGACAGGAGCGCACGTCGACGTTGCCAAAGGTGATCGAGATCAGTAGCACTTCGAGGTCGTCGGCGCTGGCGGCGAGGGCAAGCAAGATAGCCAAGACGTCGTCGACGCCCGGGTCGGTGTCGATGATGATGCGATTTTTGGGCGCCATAATGTTGTGTTTGTGTTGTAGAGCCTCACGTCAGACGCAGTCACACTGTGAGGGGGATCTGCTTGCTGATGTGGATTGGATAAGGCTGGCCTAGTGACAGTGAGGGGCAAGTCGAGGTGTGATAGAGAAAGGCAGAGGTGAGCCAAAGGTCTAGTGCACGCCTAGTTACTCGCTGTGGCCACGGGCAAACGATGTCGTCTGCGCCCAGAATATATTTTGTGAGATGGTGGTGTCTTTCTTACTCGTTGGTGGGATGAATCAGAGACGCAGCGATGCAACCCTGAACCCCTTCGGCCATTTCCGGTTAACGCCGCTTCGGCCCACCTGCCTCGTTTCCGCTTGGTACGACGTACCCTTGTTCTCGTCTCAAGTCTCCCACAGTCTCTATTATTGTTGTCAAGGACTCTATCTCATCCTTCGTTTCATTCACAACAAAGTCGACTTTGAATTAGTAGTGCTAAATGATGCATCTTTCGTGCACAACTCGGCTCTTATTCGTGCCGATGTCGCTGAGCTGTGGCTTAGCACTAGTTTCACTCGTCAAAGGGATGAGGCGTTCAGCTCGAGATCCAGATGCGTCCATTGGCTAGCCCTTGCCTTGGTCAAAGGCACCATTTGATGCCATCCACGGCCAAGGAAACCGTCGCTCGACGTCGTCCATTTGGGTTGTTGTCCCAGGCGACATCGTGAATTGGTGCAAAGAGGCGTCGTCTTGGTTTTCCTACCAAATTCTGCCTTGTAGCCGCATTCCTAGGCTTACCATGATGATTTATTGAGGCCGGATAACACCATGTTTTTTTGGAATAAAGGCTGTAGGAGGGTGGACCGAATCATCTCTTCATCCGTCCCTCGAAGTCTTCAGCATGGCACCTAAACAGACTGGAAAACGGAGGACTCCATATCTCTCAATCCTCACCACTTTTGGGAGTGCTATTTGTTTGATACTGATCGGAATAAACACCATCTGTGGCGAGCCAGATCCCGAGGATTCCCTCCGTCGTCAATTTGCCACAGGTCCCAATCTGCAGATCCAAGCATGGACCGCTATACTAGGGTTGATAGTGTCAGGGCTCTCTTTCAGCCTCCTGGCCTCGGTCCAACATCTCTATGACTGTGTCTGCTCCAGGTTGGCAACCGCCAAAGGGTCAAGAGGTCTTCCTTATGCAAAGTACCTGAATACCCTCCCTCACGCTCCGGTTCTTCTGGGTATCAGGCGAGGCTTTGCATGGTATGTGATGACTTTTTGGTTGGCCTCGGCCATGATAGCTCTGTGGACGATCGGCTACAAGTTCAGCATCATTCAAGTCGAGGGCCAAGTACGCGAACAGATTTCCGAAGACCTCATATCATTGAGAATTCCTCCCGCTCATTGTCTCGACGAGGACACCGGCGTAAGCGAGTGGTTTGACGACCGAGTTTCATATCAGCCTCTGGTATCTGGAGAAGACTTTGTGTACCAAGACCCCGTGGAGATCTTGACGAACAAAGCTTTCATCCATCGACTCTCAGGAGACCCAGAAGAAGACGCAGATCGTATGGGTACGGGGCGAATTGTCATGGTCGGATCAGCCACGTGTGCAAGCACCCTCTTCAACGGGGCAGATTCCGGTATACTGTACACCTCTGAGAACGTCCTGGTCGCTGAAGTGGTCGACAGCGTGATTGAACCAGGTCGTAATTTCACCATCCATGACATATATTGGCAAACCTTGGAGCCGGACGTGATAAACAACGTTCAGTTCAAGATACAGTCTCCGGGGGCAATCACAATTCGTCGAGCTGGACTTGTCGTCGGCCAGGGAGCAGATCCAGATCTCCTCGGAACTGCTTCCATTGAACAAGAACAAGAAATTCGTGTTTACCGACATCGGTTCATCGTTGCGCGTCGCGTGGTCAACGGAACTTGCCAGAATATCTTGCCGGATCAAACGGGATATCTCGTGGATGGCCGCGTCTCAAAAGATCCGCCCTCCGGGCCACAGCAACTGGTTGAAACCTACTACGAGGACGGGACAAGTTATTCGGTCGGACCCATTCTTCAGACGGGCTGCTTCAGTGGATCGCTATCATTCCAGAGCTCTTATGTGAACAGAAAGATCAAGTCTATCATTGTGCGGGCAAACATGGCAGTCTGGGGAACAGATATTGAAACAATACGTCAAGATCAGTCTCGCCAGGTTGAGTCTCTTGGCCACAATTTCTATCGATCAGACCGCATCACTGGAATCAAGCGGCTCTCCAGTAAAGATCCGACGAGATACCCTCTGTTCGAGGGAACCAGGCTGATTGCAGGTCGCGGTGGCTATGTCCAGGCGGCCTGTGTAGAAATTGGTTTGGGGGTTGTCTTCATCATTATCGGTCTGGTACGGTGGTACATTGGCCCACCTGAGTTGACATCGTGGGCAGGACAGCACGTGTCGGTAGTCTGCAACACAATTCTCGCCCCAAGCGGTGGTGTTGGGATGGAAGTGCAAAACTGTAGGCCTGGTGGACCTTTACATCTGGCATCCGACACAACTCACAGCAGTGGCTCTTCGTCTGCCACGACACCTCTTGCTCAGAACGGACCTTCGCTCTCGCTCATCAACGACCTCCGGAACGTTTGCTCCAAAGGCTATGAGCCAGCGCCTATCAAAGGTGTTGGCACGACATGGAATTTGATTTTGGACAAAGAGACTACAGACCAAGGACGCGACAGATTCTTCTTTACCAAGGCAGAATGAGTTATCCTTGAGAAGAACATGGCTCCTCCCTGCTTATGATTATTTTTCCACTGCCTGTTCCGAAGATAATATGGCGGAGTGGAGCGGTCGACACAGATCTTTTCTGAACCTTGTTCCCGCTCCTTCAACATCTGCAGAGGGAGGGAGATGGATGAGTTCCGCGTTCCAGACTTGATGCTCCGAGAAACTGAGATTGATGTCTCGGCCAGGAAGAAAGCCTCCTTCACGGCTTTTTCCAATACATTGTAAGCACAGAGACCAACCAGCAAGACACGGCAAATGCCAATGCAATGCTGGTGAGAATCACCTCCTGCATCAAATCAGTTCGATTAACTTGGATTCTGACCCGCTGTCGCACAACCCCTCCAGATTGGGGGTCACTACCCACCTTGACATCTTTTCTAGTCATGGTGTACGAGTTGAAAATCTGGCACAAGAGACCGACGAGAAACAAGGTGATGCTGAGGTTGAGCAGCATCACGGGCATCTGCCACGCCAGGACCTGGAATCGGCGCGGTTGCGAACTTCCCGGATCTTGTGGGTTGTTCCCCAGC